GGCGTTTGGCAGCCTGATTCTCTAATCGACGGCGTGGGTTGGCGGATGGTCTAGTGCATGACCGGAGACGGCCGGCGGCTTTCAGGTTAGGGTTTTTTGTTGGCATGTTAAATTTTTTTCCGTTGCAACTGTGTAGTAAATGTCTTGGTAATTGCCCGATTCCTTCCATACTACAACTGTTTAAATTTGGCTTTGATGAGATTACAGATCTGAGCTTCGACTAAGCCGTCGATTTTCGAAGCTTTATTTAGAGGCTCTTGACTTGTCTCGGACGCAGCCCAGATCGGCGGCGAGCCAGACAACGGGCATTCCTTCGGCCTTAAGCTTGAGGATGCTCTCGCAGACCTTGGGGTGGTCTTGATGGAGGCGGTGGACGCGAGGGTTGCAAGGTGACTGTAATATTTAAGCTCGAGAAAATTGGAAAGTGGGTGGTCACGAGATTAGTCAAGGAGCATAACCATCCTTTGGTCGTGAATGGTAGTGACTTTGCAAACGTGGTGTGCCTTTCTTCTTGGTTTATGTTTTTGATTGATTTTTTTTAACTGTCTGTGCCAGTTTTGTTCTATTTTGCTTATGTTTTAGGGATAAGCTATATATAATCCTTCTTTCATGTGTTCTTTCAATGATAAAATGATTTTCAGCTGGCAAGATTTTGTTACTCAATTGTCATGCATTCAGTTCATGATTAGATTAGTTGGTTAAAACTGATACTGGCGATAACATTGAAATTTGGTGGCCTAGAATTATTTTATTGACGCAGCAGAAATTGGGAGTTCGTAAATTTGTACATGGATCATATTACATTAATCACACCTGTGTGGATCAATTATCTATATGCATAGGAGAATCTAAAACACCAATCATTGTTTTCCTTAAACTAAGAGCTTCAAGCACAATAGGTTTAGACTAATGCTTTTTTTTTTTTATGTTAATGTGTTCTGTTTGTTTTCTTCTTTGTTTTTCTTCCTTTTGTTTTAAATTTCCTCAGGCGCCTAACGGTCTCTACCAGCGGAAAAGAAATCTAATATCATGCACCCATCCTGTATGTAGCTCCCTTCAAAGGCTCGATAACCATGATTGTATGGGCCTGAACGGGCAATGTGACTATAAGATTGATTATGCTGACTATGGTTCGTCCCTTGGGGTACTGGCCAAGGATTCGGTTTCTATCAATTTGACCAATGGTGCAGTTGGTTGCCCCATAAGTGGTGTTCGAGTGAGGAACTCGCTAGATGCTTCTATTATGATGTTGTAGTCTGATTTTGTATGTGGTTTTTTCGAAGAGCATTTTATAATAGCTGAAAGTCGAATATCGTACAGTGAGGGTGTTTGGTATATAAATATCGAAAAAGCAATTATAATGGTTAAGCTTTGGAAAAACAGAATCACAAGTCGACATTTGAAAAAAAAAAAAAAAAAACTATAAACAATCCACTTCCGTTCCTAAAAGCTGACGACTAAATTCGATTTAATAAATACTTGAGTTGTTTGTAATTTGTATTGAGTGCACAGCTTGTCCTTTCTTTCCAGCATAATCATGGATTCGACCACTCTCAGAGATGGTCTACACTATTTTGAGGTCTATGCATTATATTGTAAAGCTCCCTGGCGTGGTCCACTCTTCAGAATTCCTATCATTAATAGAAAACCTCATTCCGTGAAAAGTCGACCACCTGTCCAATTCCAAGGGATGTCATTTGTACCAGGTACATCATATTCAAATGAAAATTTGAAAATTCAGTCTAATGTCTTAATTGTTAGTTGTTACGCCAATGTGTATGTTTTGTGTTACATGTAGGATGGTTATTTAATCTCCTAATGAACATTACATTAAAATATTAAATTGCTTTGCATCTTCCTTTATCTGATTGTCAAGATTAGAAAATGAATTGGATGACCACATGAAGTTGATAAATAATAATTTTGTAAATACATGTGAACATGTTGAATGCAGATACTGCAATGAAGCCTCATAGTCATCATTGAGTTAAAAATTTGTTCACCCATCCAGGTTCTTGCTCAAGATAGATAAGGGTTATGCTGAATATTGAATTATCAGAGGAACAATAATAACCTCATTTTTTGACCTTGCTTCTGATAAAGAATTCTCATTTACAGGTTGGCTTTACTATGTCATATACAATTACTAACCGTAAATTTAGAGGATATTTCAGGAAAGTATCATAATTGTACTATAATGACAAGTAATTTGGACATGCTTGTATAATAAATATGTTAAAGTTTGATTAGAAGTCTGAAGTTGACTTACTTTACTCTTCCAACGTACATCCTACCCTGATATTTTTATTGATATTGTCCTTAGGCATTTTATTTCTTGTATTCGTAATGTTTGTCTTTTCATTTCGTTCTGAAGAACAATTGTGGCATTGGTTGTTTTATGCAGCGATACATGGACTCTGAGATTCGGGCAATCATGGCGAGTACATGCCAGTGAACAATCAAGGGGAGATTCCCACTCACACAACTCAAGGGCATGTTTAGACATGACTATAAATTGTAAGAACGGTGGAGGAAAATGAAAAATCGAAATAAAATGTCAATTAATCACCTACAATTGATTCTGTTTATGGGGTGTTTGCTGCCTGTGTCAATGTTAATGTTATGACTTTCGGTTAATTTTATGACTTTCTACAGATGAAGGCAAAACTTATGTTCATGTATAGAGTCCATGTTGACTAGTGACTACCCTTTATAAACTCCCATTTTTGTGGGAATTTTTTGATAGATGATCTTTTACCATTAGTGTGGATATATCTCTACTTTTTTGAGGCTCCATATTGGCAGAGCCATGTACATGTAAAAAGATGATCATTTATTGTGTTTTAATCATCATTGACAGGGTTAGCTTATAGAAACATATATAAGGAACAGTCATTAAAAACAAGCAACAATTGTTTGCAGGGTCTGAATAGAGAAATAATACATCAGGAAATCAACAAATCTAAACGTAAAGAAAGTTGTTTGTGAGCAGGAAAGCAGATGTATTCATTCGAACGAGAACTTCATTACATACTTCAACTTCAATGATTTCCAACTCTCGATTTTCACACATCTGTAAACCAAAGATGTAAAAGTATTTAATGACAAACAATTTCTAGCAAGAAATAATTGAAATTAAGTAATCAATGTTTATAATAAAACAAATAAAATGGTTTATAAAATAATTTTTGAAATCCCACAAATTGTTCATACGATTCGAAAAACATTTTTGGATGTATCTATTGTTTCTGAGATCCCATAAACCGTGTTTCTTGTGATTCAAAACAGATTTTTTGGACAAGAAATCGATTTCTTGTCCAGAAATTGGATTTTTAGTCCCAGAAATCGATTTCTGGGCCAGAAATCCATTTCTGGGTCAGAAATCTATTTCTAGACAAGAAACGAGACTATCCAGAAATCAATTTCTAGGTCGAAAATGTGATTTCTGGGTCAAAAATCGATTTCTGGGTCCGAAATCGATTTCTAGGACAAGAAACGAGACTGTCCAGAAATCGATTTCTGGGTCGGAAATGTGATTTCTGGGTCAGAAATCGATTTCTGGGTCAGAAATCTATTTATAGACAAGAAACGAGACTATCCAGAAATCGATTTCTGGGTCGGAAATGTGATTTTTGGGTCAGAAATCAATTTCTAGGACAAGAAACGAGACTGTCCAGAAATCAATTTCTGGATCGGAAATGTGATTTCTGGGTCAGAAATCGATTTCTGGGCCCAGAAATTATTCAATTTTCCAAGAAATCTATTCTACATTTTTTTTCCATATTCATTTTATTAATTTGAATAATATATATGTGCCCCATTAAAAAGAAGATAAATTATAACAATACTTTTACACTAATATTTCCGAGATATCACCGGAATGTTGCCGGAATGAATATAGAGATTTTTTTTTTAAAGAGAATGATTTTTTTTTTTTTTTTGTTGATATTGATGAAAAGAGTGAATGAAGTTAGTTGAAATGTAAGAGAGAAGAGAGATGAATTCTTTTTTAAAAAAATTGATATTAAGGGTATTTTAGTCTTTTTATGTACCAAAATGGCTAAAAAAGATATTTTTTTGAAACTATGGCTAAAATTTGTGTCAGCCATTTCAACATGGCTAAAAAAAAATTTCACTGAAATAAAATCCCCCTTCCCCCTATATATCAATCCAGAACGCGATGAGTCTACTTGGCTGCTTCTGGTGCTTCGGAATCTTATGTGGCAAAATTACATGCTTCGTTATTAGGCTTGGGTAAATTTTAATTTAATTCCAAACCAAAAATAATTAGGTTCAGATTACTATAAATATGTTGATTATTTATGGTCATGTTACATGTATTAATTGCATTTTAATATCATTCCTTATTATAACTATTGAATTGTATATATATTTTAAAAGTTAATAACTTTTGTATTTTTTATCAGTTTTACATATGTAATATATCAAATTAATCGTTTTTTGACGAGTTTCGATTTAACATCCATATTGTATGTATAAAAAAAAAATATTTATTTTTGTAACAATAATAAAATTATTTTTAATATTAATTAGAAAAATAAAATTATTTATCAACTAATATATTTATATTTCACGTAGTTATATGATATAAGTTATGAAAAATAATATAATATAACACATGTAAGTCATAAGTAACACATATCATTTTAAAATATATAGTAATATGTTTTTTTTTTTTTTGTAA